CTCAGGACTCAGAGTAGGGCTGGGGGGCTCAGGGCAGAGGTGGGGGGCTCAGAGCAGAGCTCAGGGCTCAGAGCAGGGCTGGGGGGCTCAGGGCTCAGAGCAGGGCTGGGGGGCTCAGGGCTCAGAGCAGGGCTGGGGGGCTCAGAGCAGGGCTCAAGGGCTCACAGCAGGGCTGGGGGGCTCAGAGTGGGGGTAGGACTGCAGGGACTGACCCCACCCAGAGACAGGGACAGCCAGGGCCTGCCCAGCTCTCAGTGGTGGCACCAGGTGTGGCCCCTGCGAGCTGTGTGCTGGGTCAGTCCAGGGGGTGTCCAAGCACGGCTGAGAAAGGGGAAAAGCTGGGAAATGTTCCAGGAGAAACCCTGGCTATGGCTGAACCTGGGAGGTGGCAGTGGTGGCCAGGGGCAGGCGACTCCAGGTGATCTGCTGGGCCCCCACACCGTCCTGGGAGGGACAGCAGCTCTGCAGGACTCGGGTGACCCCAGCTCTGCTGGCACCGGCAGAGTTTTCCCTCCGGGAGCCTCCCACGGCTGCAGCTGCTGCTCCACCGCCCCCGGGGGTTTGTTCTCGCTTCAAACACTCCTCTCTTTCAGAGTCTGTAACCCCCGAGATATTTATAAGCACTTCAGCATTTTCAGGGTGGAACAGTTTCACTCCAAACAATTCCATCTCCAGCTTTGCCCCTTCTCTCCTCCGACATGCTTCTGGCTGGAAGCCACAGCTCACTGATGCAACTTGTTGTCTCAAAACAGTTTTTGACAGCTGCTCGACTTACCCCAAAAAACATGGGAAGAGAGATTCCCTCTGGGGTCCACTTGGCATTGTTGAGCTCTCCTTGATTTTCAGAGGGAGCAGACACAGGAGGAGAGGAGGGAAGGGGTCCTGGTCCTGCCTGGAGCCCCAGAGCTGCCAGGGCTCCTCTCTGATGCCCTCTCTCCTGCCTCTCCCCTCACTGTGGCTGCATCTATTGCTTCAACCTCTCCACTTCCATCCCATTTTCATCTCTGGATGTTTCTTCTCCCTGTGATGTCTCCTCCTCTTCCTGCCTTTCCTCTGGCTGTTTTCTGTCTCCTGTCACATTAACTCCTTCCTCTCCTGCTCCATCCCTCAGGTACTTGATCATCGAGAACTTCATCCCTCCTGAGGAGAAGAACAAGATCATGAACCGCCTGTACTTCGACAGTGATGAGGATCAGTGGAAATTCCAGCCGCTGGTTCCCACCGGAGGGTACGTCCCTCTGTCCCTGTCCCTGTCCCTGTGTTCCTGTCCTTGTCCCCATCCCTGTGTCCTCGTCCCTGTCCCTGTGTCCCTGTCCCAATCCCTGTGTCCTTGTCCCTGTGTCCCCATCCCTTGTGTCCCTGTCCCTATCCCTGTGTCCCTGTTCCCATCCCTTGTGTCCCTGTCCCCATCCCTGTGTCCCTGTCCCCGTCCCTATCCCCATCCCTGTGTCCCTGTCCCCGTCCGTGCCAATGCTCACGAGTGGCCCCAGGGCCGGGGGGTCTGGGACTCCTGCAGGTTCCCATGGGTGGGAATCCCCTCCAAGCCCAGCCCCATGGGAAGGGCCGCCCTTCCCTCGCCGACGCAGCTCCATCGGTCCCCTGGGACGCGGCGCTGTTGGGTCACGTTCCCCACTCCGTGTGCTCCAGGAACAGCTCCCAGATGAAGAGGCGACCGACTTCCGCCGTGGGCTACAAGAGACCCATCAGCCAGTACGCACGGGTGGCCATGGCCAGGAGATCCCACCCCCGCTTCCGGGTAAGTGAGGGGACCCTGGGGTGTGCCAGGGGCTGGGAAGGTGTTGGATAAATGGGATGGATGGATGGATGGATGATGGATGGATGGAGGATGGATGGATGGATGATGGATGGATGGAGGATGGATGGATGGATGATGGATGGATGGAGGATGGATGGATGGATGATGGATGGATGGAGGATGGATGGATGGATGATGGATGGATGGAGGATGGATGGATGGATGATGGATGGATGGAGGATGGATGGATGGATGATGGATGGATGGAGGATGGATGGATGGATGATGGATGGATGGAGGATGGATGGATGGATGATGGATGGATGGAGGATGGATGGATGGATGATGGATGGATGGAGGATGGATGGATGGATGATGGATGGATGGAGGATGGATGGATGGATGATGGATGGATGGAGGATGGATGGATGGATGATGGATGGATGGAGGATGGATGGATGGATGATGGATGGATGGAGGATGGATGGATGGATGATGGATGGATGGAGGATGGATGGATGGATGATGGATGGATGGAGGATGGATGGATGGATGATGGATGGATGGAGGATGGATGGATGGATGATGGATGGATGGAGGATGGATGGATGGATGATGGATGGATGGAGGATGGATGGATGGATGATGGATGGATGGAGGATGGATGGATGGATGATGGATGGATGGAGGATGGATGGATGGATGATGGATGGATGGAGGATGGATGGATGGATGATGGATGGATGGAGGATGGATGGATGGATGATGGATGGATGGAGGATGGATGGATGGATGATGGATGGATGGAGGATGGATGGATGGATGATGGATGGATGGAGGATGGATGGATGGATGATGGATGGATGGAGGATGGATGGATGGATGATGGATGGATGGAGGATGGATGGATGGATGATGGATGGATGGAGGATGGATGGATGGATGATGGATGGATGGAGGATGGATGGATGGATGATGGATGGATGGAGGATGGATGGATGGATGATGGATGGATGGAGGATGGATGGATGGATGATGGATGGATGGAGGATGGATGGATGGATGATGGATGGATGGAGGATGGATGGATGGATGATGGATGGATGGAGGATGGATGGATGGATGATGGATGGATGGAGGATGGATGGATGGATGATGGATGGATGGAGGATGGATGGATGGATGATGGATGGATGGAGGATGGATGGATGGATGATGGATGGATGGAGGATGGATGGATGGATGATGGATGGATGGAGGATGGATGGATGGATGATGGATGGATGGAGGATGGATGGATGGATGATGGATGGATGGAGGATGGATGGATGGATGATGGATGGATGGAGGATGGATGGATGGATGATGGATGGATGGAGGATGGATGGATGGATGATGGATGGATGGAGGATGGATGGATGGATGATGGATGGATGGAGGATGGATGGATGGATGATGGATGGATGGAAGGATGATGGATGGATGGATGATGGATGGCTGATGAATGATGGATGGATGGATGGATGGAGAGCTAGAGGTGGATGGATGGAGGCAGTGAGTGGATGGGTGGAGGGATGGATAACACTGGGAGAGAAGCTGGAGTAAACAAGCTCCTGAGATCTGGGATACGCCAGTTCAAGCTCTCAGCTTTATCCTCCCAGCTCCAGTCTTGGAGCTCCTGGCTCTGTGGCTCTGGCAGCTGCTGCCATTGGAAAGGACGGGACTGCTGAGCTCTGGGAGAGCCGGAGCAGAGCCCTGAGCCCAGAGCAGCAGCTGCCCCAGCAGCGTGGCTCACCAGAGCTGGTGACTCCCGTGTCACCGTGCCCTGGGCAGGCTGAGAACATCATGTTCCTGGAGCTGGACCTGTCCCCCCCGGCCATCTTTGAGTTTGAGCGCAGCAGGGACCTGGCGGAGCAGGACCCGCGGGCGCTGCACCTGGAGAGGCTGATGCACCTGGACAGCCTCCTGGAGCGGCCGGCGGCCTCCCGCGTGCGCAAGTCCCGCTCCTGGTGAGTGCCCGGGACCTGCTGTGGGGAGCCACTGGGGCTTGGGGCAGGCACAGGAGTCACAGCAGAGCTGGAAAGGCCCTGTCCCAGCGGGGCTGAGCCTGCTCCTGAGTTGCTGGCTGTGGGCAGAGTTGGGAATGCTGCTGAGGTTGTGCTATGGAGCAGCATCGTGTGGAGCTCTGTGCAGGAGGGACGTGGAGCTGCTGGAGAGAGCCCAGAGGAGCTGGGAGCTGCTTCATGGAGCCCTTCCTCTCTGGAGCCAGGCTGGGGGTGCTGGGGGTGCTCACCTGGAGAAGGATCCAGGGAGAGCTCAGAGCCCCTTGCAGGGCCCAAAGGGGCTCCAGGAGAGCTGGAGAGGGACTGGGGACAAGGGCTGGAGGGCCAGGAGCCAGGGAATGGCTGCCAGTGCCAGAGGGCAGGGCTGGATGGGATTTGGGGCAGGAATTGTTCCCTGGCAGGGTGGGCAGGCCCTGGCACAGGGTGCCCAGAGCAGCTGGGGCTGCCCCTGGATCCCTGGCAGTGCCCAAGGCCAGGCTGGACACTGGGACAGTGGGAGGTGTCCCTGCCATGGCAGGGGTGCCACTGGATGAGTTGTAAGATCTCCCCAAGCCAAACCATTCCATGATTCCATGATATTCCTGTATCCCAGACCCGAGGTATCCTCCCACCAAGCAAGGGGTGCCCTTTAGTGCTGCCTGCACAGCAAATGGCTGGGAAAGGGGCTGGATTTTGGGGAGGGTGGCAAGGAACAGCAGGGCAGCAGACCCAGAGTGTCTGTGTCCCCAGGTGCCAGACGCCGCGGTCGCTGCCGTCCTCCACCACCCACGTGTCCCTCGCCTCCGGCTCCCCGTGCTCCGCCCCAGTGCCGGCCCAGGAGTGACGGCCCGGACGTCCCGGACTGAGTCCCCGAGGGGGGCCCGGCCCAGCGGCCCCAGCTCGTCCTGGTCCTCAGCTACTTTGTGTGTGTTTGTGAGACACGGACGGCCCCGGGCCAGGGTGGCTGCCCCTCCCTCCTCCTCCTCCTCCCCTTCCTCCACCCCCCTGATCCGGATCTGTCACTTTATTTATTTAACCTATTTATTTATGGAGCGGGTGACGCGCGGAGCCGGGATTTGCGCTCGGACTGATGGACATCCAGGCTGGCAGCGGGCAGCCCAAAGCCTGGGTTTGCCCAGCTGCCAGCCCTCCCCACACTGCCTGGCACAGGGCTGGGCATGGGGACAGCGCCCTGGCACAGGGCTGGGCAGAGGGACAACACCAGGACACCGCTCCATCCGGGCAGGAGGGGTGTGGGTCCCTCTCCAGGGGATTTGGCAGAAGCTGAAGCTGCCCTGGCCCCTGGTGCTGGCTTTGCTTTGCTGGATCCAGGGAATTTGGAGATTTCTGCATGGATTGGGAGACTTTGTGGTGGCAGCGCCTTGTGAGAGTCCCCCAGAGGGACTCCCTAACACTGGTGGCAGCAGGGACACCTCACCGGGCACGGCTGTCACTCCAGGAGCACCAGCTCCGTCCACAGGGCTTGCAGAGTCACCAGACCAAGTCGCCCCAAGGGCAGGGCTTTGTCCTTCTGTGCCACGCTCTGGAGACAGCCCCACCGAGGTTCCTGTGGGTGTGCAGCTCCTGACAGCACAAGAGGTGGAAATCTCCTTCCAGCGCCCTTCCAAAGTCACGGGCAGTGCCTGCGGAACTCCGGCCTGAGAGGCTCCATCCTGCAGAGGAGGAATGTGGGACAAGGAGGTGACACCCAGGGCAGCGATGGCATCGCTGTCCCCTGGGCAATGGCACATGGAGGTCACCTCTGTCACCCCCTGCTTGGGACAAACTTCCTGGTGGGTTGTGAGGAGTGGGTGTGAAATGGTGATGGGTAAGAGGGGGAAGCCACGAGGACTCTGGGGACTGAGTGCGGTCTGCAGGCGCTGCCCCAGCAGCTGCAGGCACGGGGACAGCGCTCGGTGTTCCTGTGGGACACGGCTCTCCATGGAGGGAAGCTGGTGAAGAGCCGTCCTGGCAGTGCCAGGCCAGCAGCTGTGGTGTCCCTGGGATGGTGGAGGTGGGGACATCCCCGTGTTCGAGGAGATCCTTATGGATGAGGGAGCGAGCCCTGGCTCTCCTGGGAGGAGTTGGGGCAGCGAAGGGCCGGGCAGGGAGGGCAGGTCAGAGAGGACTGCAGGTAGGGAATGTCCTCTGGCAACAAAGAGAATTCCTTCACAGTATGGATGAGGTTCAAGGGACCCTGGAGCTCAGCCAGCCCCTGGAGCACGTTACTCAGGGCTGTGTCTGGATGGGTTTGGAAGCTCCTGAGGAGGAGGAAGGAGGCTCCAGGACTGCTCTGGGCTCGCTGTTCTTTGCTGCTGGACTGGTCCCTGCTCCCCTCACTGGCTTCTGCACTCAGGACAGGGGTGAGGGAAGGTGAGGGAGCAAGGCACAGGCACAGAATGGGAACATCCAGAGGGAACCAGGAGCTGTGCCGAGCTCAGAGCCAGGCAGGTCCCACAGCAGCCGTGTCCCATCCCCAGGTGGCTGTGCTGGGCCATCCACTGCCCTTCCCAGCTGTCCCTGACACATCCCTGCACGGCCACAGGGGATCTTCTCCCCTTCCCATCCAATGCTGTCCTGCCTCGAGCTCTCCATCATCCCCTCTGCCCCCCTTCCCATTCCCATCTGTGCCCCAGAACACCCCCTGGCCCTCCAGACTCCGGCCCCTTCTCCCCCAGGCCGGCTCCTGGCTCGGGGATGTCTCGGGAAGCTGTAGCTTGCTCCAAGGGCTGGCACAGCTCTGCCCACAGGTACCCCCGCAGCCAGGGGTGTCCGAGGGTATCCTCCACAGGTACCCCCTGCAGCCAGGGCATCACCCAGAGCCCGCTGGCCCTGTGTCACCATCCTGTTCCTGCCATGGCAGGGGTGGAACTGGATAAGCTTTAAAGTCCCTTCCAGCCCAAACCAGTCTGGGATTCCCTGGTTCTTTGAAACAGTGGCTGGCAGAGCTGCCTCATTACTCAATTTCCAGGAAAGCGTCTGGGAGTCAGGGTCAGGAAGCACAGACTTAGAATTTCTGAGGGGAAGCTCGGGGGGCCTGCAGGAATAGAATTTCCTCCCTTGTTTTCCAGCAGTCCCAGTTCCCATTCAGTGGATCAGCAGCTTGTGGAGCCCCAGAGTGATGAAGCAGTGACTCTCTTGCCTCCATTCTCACCCAGGGTGTGGGAAACAGTTCAGGAGCTGAGGGTGTCCTCATCCCCTGGCTTGCCAAGGGCCAGGGAGCATCCTAGGAATGGTGGCTGTGCCCAGGGAAGGGTGGCTGTGTCCAGGGAAGGGTGGCTGTGTCCCTGTAAGGGTGGCTGTGTCCCTGGAAGGGTGGTTCTGTCCCAGGGAAGGGTGGCTGTGCC